CGCAATTACCACATAATGGAAAGTCACTTTTAGTTTCATGTTTCCATTTCCAGAGTTTCAGGCTTGGCAGCATTGTTTGTGTTGGCCCAAATGCCACTGACACTCCTTATCCAAAGAGCCAAGGATCCTTTTATTCATTAAGTTTCAGAGGTGCGCAAAGGGTGTCCAGCAATAGCAGGTAAGATGTTCCAGTTTTCATTCAATTCATTTTACATCAACTTAGTGGTCGGAGAAACAGAGGTCATCATTACGGTGTGACTGTAAAAATCTAAGGTTTATGTAAACTGTTATGTGTGTTATTAGTATTCCCGAAGGCAAACCACATCCAAATTCTAAGCTGTCTGGTGTAGTGGACAGTTAAAGTAGATTACACTGTCTGAACTGTAAGCGTAATATACTTTCACTTCCAAACCAGTCTACATATCCTGTTCAGATGTGTACTTTTGAGATATGTCAACCATGTATTGCTGTTTGTTTTAAAGTCACTTGGATGTGTATAGAAAGCTTGTTCTTCCTTCATCCCCAAATGCTTGTTCATTATCGATGTTTGGGGGTGTCTTTCTGTAATGCTGTAGAATTTTTACCTTGATATATAAAATGTCTTGTGAATTATGGATTTATTAATCAAGCTTAACTGACGACTTACAAAATGACCACAATATCCTTAACATGCACTTTGGTTTCATATCTATGTGCATGTGTCCACAACATATACTTTTTTTCTCTACTTAAACTTTCCCATTGCTACAAATATTTGAATGTCTCAGGTCTCGTGAACAAGTTTGATAGAAAGAACTTCAAAATTAACATTTTGAATTTCATTTAATTTGGCTTTTTCTGCTTCTCGACTTTCACAGAGTGATCGTTCAGTGTCTGTGGGTGAAGTTCAATATACAATGGCAGAAAAACCTTTGACAGACTGGGACAGTGGTCTTTGTGACTGCTTTGAGGATGCACGTACTTGTAAGAAGCCATTTAAATATGATTGACTCATAAATTGAATTTGTATTTTCAGGACTACAAGTTGTTCTGATTTGTGTTGCCTTCATCTTTTGAGACTTGTTACAACTTTGTTGATGCGTTTCTGTGTTTTTCAGGCTGCTATGGATTCTGGTGCTGCCCCTGTCT